CCTGCCACAGGGGTACTGTGGCAATATAGTTCGGGCTTCGGCGTACGCTGAACTCGATGGTGAACGCAAGAGACAGTCGATTTATCCTGGTTCAGGCCCTCGATCGTAGATCGAGTAACGACCCTACGTCCAGTCGGCGTTTGCCTTTGCGTTGGATTGATTATGAGGTGTTATGTTGTACCATTGTCCTCCTTCAGGAGCCCTGCCCTCCTTTATATAGTCAGGAGGCCAGAGTCCTAATCGGTTTACAATGAGATTTCCTAGTAGGATTACTTAATAGTTCTATTACTAAGATTACATGGGAAGAATCCTAGTTAAACTAGATCTTCTCTCTCTCTTGCGGGGTATCCTGTGGGTCCCGCATCGACAACCGCTTCATGTTTGCATCTAGGTGAGCATCGGCTCGCTATCGGGGGCGGAGAGGGGCTAGGGTGGCCAGCGTGACCGCCTAGTGTCGTTGTCGCTGCGCCGGTGCGCGCGTGGGTGCCTGAGGACCTGGCCGTGGTAAAGATGGTTTGTTCCGAGGGCTAGTTTGATTTAATGTTGACTGTAGGAATAGTATTGTGGACTGTGGATTGATTCGGTAGTAGCGCGAGGTTGTTTTCGCAAATGTGCCGAAGCGCACGGGCCTCCCCATCGTGGGCCGTTGCTGCGTGATTGGGCCGCGCCCCGCATGGGCCGCGCCGGCGGGTCGCTCGTACGCGCGCGCTGCGCTTGCGTGGGCCGAGCCGTGTAAGTGTCCTTTTCTTTTCTAATGAATTAGTTAATGTTTTTCTAAATTAAATTGTGAACTGATCTTTGATAATTAGTATAAAATTATGTAAGTGTCCTAAAATGGTGAAGTAAATTTTGTTAGATTCCTAAATTCATGATCTATCTTTTAGTGTATTTAGTTCATACAGTTCTATGGTATCCTTAGGGTTACTTTATTTGTTTTAAAATGCTTGTTGTTATTATGATTAATTAGAAAATGAATTTTCGTGATGAAATAGTAGAAGTGCTAGCTCTAAAAATTTTATAGTAGACTCATGACATTATTAGGTACTCACTGTAATTTTTGTAGCCTTGGAATATATTGAGAAATATGGTAGCTAAGTATTCCTTGTTGTAGTTTATATATTAAATCGATAACAAGAATAGGGATGTCGTTAGTTGCTAAGTTAATATGTGAAATATTTCATACCTGTTTAGTGGTCATAATAGGTAACTTAGCGTCTTAGTTGGTAGAGCTAGCTTAGTAGCTTGATGGATGTATTCTTATTTTAATAGTTGTTGTTGCCGTATTATAAAGTGTTACATCATCATTTCATACATGTAGATAATGAGTTGGTAGAGTTCATGTCTGTGGGTGAGCAGGAGTATGAGGAGTTCGAGGAGGAGATTCTCGTACAGGAGGGAGACCCAGAGCCATCAATTGCTGACTTTGTTGACACCCCGCCTACCCAAGGTAAGCCACGGTGCATAACCCTTATTTTGAATGATCACTGAATATATATATGATGTGCATATACGTTACAGGCATTTTATGGAAACTACATGCATAGATATATCTACCTATGAGTCCTACTACCATAGGTCGAGTAGTTGTTATGCTCAGAATTTCAGTAGCGTGAGTAACCTGCCGTTACTCACAATATGTGATTACTATTATCACTCATGATAAAAATGGTGAAAAGAAAATGGAGACCGGGTAGGGATATGGTTCGGGTATTGGTGGGTGTAAGAGGTTGTGTCATGCGACCAATAGGCCATAGCTTGGCTACACTGTTTCCCTGTCTGTGTCGGTTAAGGACCGGCCATTGTATTGGATTCTAGGCAAGTCACATGCTTATTATCCTGAGCACAAACTTGTGTATGGGTGCAGAGAAGGCTTGTTGCTCTCTTGTCATGGGTTCTAGCTCTTTCTGGACCGACTGATTGAAGACAGGCATGGCGGAGGTCTAAGCACCGCACTGAGTCCGGGACTCAGGAGCGGGGGCTCGGAGTCCAAGTTTGGACGGGGACCTGAACTCCATGACAGGAGAGTGGTGGGTTGGTCCTGCTTGTGCCTGGGGTACAAGTGAGGCGTGTGTTTCGGGGAACCCAGCTGGACACAATGATTCACGAATCACCGGTGATCCGATACGGCTTGTCTACAGTATAGCATCGTAGTAAGAACTAAAAGATGGAAATTGGTGAAATAGAATTGTTTGCTCAACTCTTGCTTAAAAGTAGAACAGATGCTTACATTGAATGGTTAGATAATAAGCTAATCATGACTGCTAATAATAAACATACTTAAGGATTCACTATTAGTATTGCTTTTCGTAAAAATAAAACCTAGCAAACCATAAAGCTTATCATATCTCTTAGAGTCAGAAAATTATTCCCACTAGTCGAATAAGTCTTACGAGTACATTGTGTACTCAGGGTTTATTTACCCCTGTTGCAGGCGCAGCTTGAGGAGTAGCCGTTGTGTGAAGAATTCTTCTGGTGGGCACAGATGGATTCTTGTATATTATCGATAGATGTTTCTTTTCATTCCGTTGTTAAATTTTCACACTCTAACTTTGGTACTGTAATAATATATTTCTAAGAACTATAGATGTATGAAATAGACTAGTAATGTAAACTCATTTTTATTATTGGATCCTGAGGAAAAAATGTGGATTATTCGGGCTCTCCCTTGGGGTGTGTTCGATGGAATCCGCCCGATGTAGCTCGCTCTCGGGGTGCTTAGTGTTTAGTGGAAGACAAGCGCCTCCGTATGTGCGTTATTTCGGACGGTTCTACCACAACATAAGAGTTACCCAAACTTTTTTCGCTATGCGGGATACAAGAACATATGAGTCATCATAAAACTTCTCCCGCCATGTACGATTGACTAAGATAAGTATTATACCAAACTTCTCCCCAAGCGGGATAAATCTATATACAAATTATCATAACGAAAAATTTAGTCATGATGACTAAAACATTCATTTATACTTTATTTTCTAATTAAATCTTCCTATTCATTCTAATTTAATTAGGAAATTAGTAAACTAACAAAAAATTATCCTGAACTGGCTTGACTTAAGCCTTTTTATTCACATACCCCAGCATTGTAGCCCGTTGGCATGCAGCCGAGTGATCTTGTCGGTTAAAAAATAAAACTTTCAAGATGCTTCTGCATCAATTCTACATCACCGTTGGCAAAAAATAGAATTAATGCATAAAACTCATAAATTAACTTAAAAGACATATAACTACTCTTCAAAATTAATTCTCCCATTGGTTCGAATTTAATTAGAAGATAATCAATATCATTGCAGCGAAACACGATAATAAAATATATTCTATTAGTTTAGGAGCATTTTTTGGTCTTTTTCTACTCTCTGAAAAATGAACCATGTTGGTGTAAAATTTTATCAGAGATTTAAACTCCAACCTTAAACTCATTATAATATTGTTTCCATCAACGTTGATCAGAAAATAACAATACCATAATTTAACATAAATAAACCAAACTACTCCTCTAATTTAAAAATTTCCGTTGGTTCCAATTTAATTAGAGGATAAACATAATCATAATTTACTAAATATAACTGCTCTTCAAATTAAAATCTCTGGTTGGTTCGAATTTAATTAGAAGATAATAAACATTAAACTTTGCAGCGGAAATATGAAAAAATTCTTTATCTACTTTTCAGAAGCATTTCACTGTACCCATCTACTCTCTGAAAAAATTATCCCGTTGGTTCAAATTTTGACAGAGATTTAAACTAGACAAAAATATCAAAATTTGCTTCTGAAAATGAATAAACATGACTCAATATCTACTGTTCGGTTTGCCTAGCCTGTTGAAACAGTACGCGGCCCAGCAGCGAAACACCGCCCGTGCGCCCGCGCTCGCCCGCTCCCCCGCGCCCAGGCCGCAACCTGGGCCTGGGCCGAGATTTCCTCAACCCGCCTGGGCTGAAAGCCGGTCCAGCGAATACCGACCGTCGATCGCAATCGGGCGGTCGTTCGTCGTTCTCGGCAGATCAAAACTCCCGGCGGTTGGCTCTCCCCCTGAACCCTAATTACATTTGCTCTTCCCCTTTCTCTCTCTACACCGCAGCGCACCAGACATAGAAGCGATGGCGACTCAAGCCTGCCGGAGAAGAGAGTGCGGCGCCGTCGTGGGCCCCCTCGCCGGAGCGCGCACTCCCCAGTGGGTGACCGCGCCACTGTCGAGTGGCCTCGCGTTGGTGCCCTGAGCCCGCGCGCCGGTGACCTAGCGTCGAGCGGCGGCTCGTCCCGTTCTGCCCACGCGACGGCTGGTTTCTTCCCACGCGACGGCGGTGGTGACGGCGACGAGAAAACCGGGTAGGTTCTCCCCTCTCCGTCCACTTTTCTTCTATGGTTAGGGTTAGGGTTTCAATCCGATTTGGAAAATGAATCCCCTCCTTCTACTGAGTCCGCGCGCGGTGCGGCTCCATTCCCACGCGCCGTCGAAACGACAGCGCGGTCTTCTTCCCGCGCGACGGCGGTCTTCTTCCTTGGGGTTAGGGTTTCGGTTCTAATCCCATTTCACTTTTCTACCCCGATCTACGATCTACACACTAGAAACCTAGAAAACCTAGCTCTGATACCATTGATAGAATTTACTGAACCTCTAGACGTAGATCAGTGGGTAAAACTTGACTTAGATGGGATGACGTAGTAGCTACAGCGGGTCAGAGTAGAGGTAGCCGTGACGCGTCCGCTAGGTCGTCGTAGGTAGCAGCAGTGCAGGCGTGGTGCTGTGGCGGCGGTGAAGGCGATGGAGCTTCCCGTCGCTTACAGCGCCCCTCTCGATCGGTTTAGGGATAGGACATCGGTGACGGGTTGGCGGCTGCGATGAACCTTGTATCTCGAGCCCGAGCCCCCACCGTCCATTTATTGTGCTGTGCGACAGGGACTCATCAGCCAGTAGTAAGGCTGAGCGTCCCCGATCAGGGCGCGGAATCAAGGGCCCGTTGGGCCAATCGGTAGAGATCAACCTAACACAACCAAACTCAGCCTCTTTTCTCTTCTCTGTAAAGATGACAAACAGGTTATGAAAAGTAATCTGGTTTCCATTTCCTTCAAGCATGAGCTTACAAGAGACTTTCTTGTGCTTCCATTCCATTGCATCCGACTGAGCGAGACCACTCAAAACCACTTCTTAACGCCTAACCACAGGAGCTAGCAGACTCCTCTTTCTTTTTCTGCAGATGGCAGCCCTTCAACTACCAAGAGATAACACAACCAGCACAGATCACACCTTCCTTTCCTTGACACAACAAAACAAACAAGTGACCATCCCAACATACAGTACTGCACTGTCTAATCACCCCTTTTTAACCCCTCTCCTGCTAAACCATATATGACTCACTGAAATCTCTGTTGTTTCTAAGTAACACAGGAGTACAACCTACAGCCATGTGTAAATAATAAACAAAATCTAGATCCATCGAGCACAACAACTTTTACACCTTAATACCATAAAAATCTATGTACAAAGCTGCCTATAAAATAAATCAATGCAAAAAACACATTACATGGGGAGTAGTATTCAACTTATATATGCATCCATCTGTATCATTCACATGACATCTGGGCTAAAAAACAAAACGCAAGAGGAGAAGGGTACTTGGTTGAGTGCATGCCACTCACTACACCCGTAGCTGAGACTGATGAGAAGAGCTAGCTAGCTGCTACCTTGGCTGAAGACCATACCAGAAGCAGCAGCAGCATGCTGCTCCGATCCACTCATCTGTTGTGGAGAGGGTTTGGACCTTGAGGAACCATTCTTCTTGAGACTGTGAACTTACTGGCGGCGGCAGCGTCGTCGTTGTCCACCTCTTTTGAAGGAGATACGGCTGGCGGAAGCTCGTGTTCATGGCGCCTCAACTCGCTCTTCGCTTCCTCTCCTCTCAATGTTCTCAAGCCGAGGATCGAGCTTGGCAAGTGTGACATTAGCAAGAGCAGGAGGATGCAAGAGAGCAAGTGCCGAAAGAACATCCTCATGGCATATGTTAGAGAGAGAGAGAGAGAGAGAGAGAGGTGTTTGGGAGGCATCCTCATGACCGTCTGAGGGTATTAATATGGATTTAGCTGGGGATCCATAGTCCATACCCTGTTCCCGTGGGGTGCAGACACGGCCACACGGGCAACAAGAAATAGAGCTCTAAATGAACCTCCATCGATCCTATGGTATGGTCCAGTTAATTCTTGAATCTTGATAGATGACAACGCGTTTGGTTTGCTAATAAAAAAATCACTACTACTTTCTAGATTTCTTTTTTTTTTTCAGTCTACTCCTTCCGTTTCCAAAAAATATACAAAAAGGGTACTAATATTTATGATGTGTACATGAACTATAGAATATATTTTCAGTAAATCTATTTGGAGATACAAATATCACTAAATTCTAGTCAAACTTAGATGGATGTATTTAGCAGCTATCTTTTAATATGGGACCTTATATATCGTGGCTTCTGAATGAACATGAAGAAGTATGTACACAGTCTGAATGAACTTTGGGTTCAGGCACTTCCACTGTTACAGTAACAATGCTGTAGCCATGTGAAACAGCGAACTAGGTCGTGCTAGGTTAGGTTTAGGTAACTTCGAAGTATGTGTCCCCAGACCCCAGCCCTCTTTGTTTTGCTGTCAGGGTCTTCTAAAGAGATTTGGCACTAGGATGCTCTGGTATCTTTCTCCAAGGCCTATACGGAAAGATTCATGAAACTCGTGTGGGCGCATAATAAAGAAATGCTTAGGCCGAGAGGTTACTGACTGACAGTCTTGGCTGTTTGTGACAGTTTCCTTGCATGTTATTATGTTAGCCTGATCAAGCAAGCAACCAATGGTCCTTGCATGTTATTATGTTAGCCTGATCAAGCAAGCAACCAATGGTCCTTTGAAAAGGTACCCCCAGCAGACTTTGGTTGCAGTTACAAGCAATTGTTCTTTGAGAGGTGAGATGGCTTCTGTTTCCCTCTCACTCTCACCTCAAAACAGACCTGCTGCCCTGGGATTAGAGTATGAACGCAGGGTAGCTTAAGCTAACATAACACCATTGGTATCCCTACCAACCGGTTAGGCTCCACATCTGGTGGAAATCCAAATCAAGACCAGTGCTCAGTAATCTTACTAATCTAGCAAAATACTGCAGCGTCTGCAGGGGACAAGGCACAAGTGTCAAATGTAAAGCTGACATTCAGAGGCACTAAGGTATGGAGGGTCTACCAACATTAGTCAAAAGGCGGGGCCATTATCCTGGCAGAATCTTGAACCTGGATGGGGCAATTCAATGTGATGGACCAAAGCGAGTTCTAAGCATTGCAAATTCCAATTACCAGCAGAGTGACTACAAAATACAGCCCCCTCCCCTAAAAAAAAAAGGCAATAGTCACTTTTTGAAAAGTCAAACAATTTTAAATTTGATCAAAATTTTATACAAAAGAGTACTAACATTTATGATACCAAATATGTACCGCTGGATTAATCATGAAATATATTTTCCTAATATAACTATTTAGGGTCACAAACATTAATAATATTTCCTATAAACTTAATTAAATTTTAAAAGTTTGACAACACACAAATCCAAATTACATCTTTTTAGGAGGGAGGCAGTAACGGGCAGCTGAGTACAGACTGGCAGAGAACCGAGAAGACATCAGTTTTAAATTTTTCTATGTCTACTGTTTGGTCAAGTCGATGCAAGGTTCAACAGATCTGGTAACAGGGGAAAGAAAAAATAACCATGACAGGACAATATTGATTCCCATTTGATGTGTCTCTGCATCGATCCGTGCTGCTGCGTTATTCATTAATAGTGTGTCTCACTACAGGAAAGGTTAATGGCAATTTATTATCAAGCAACCAAATTTAGTGCCCTTGATGAGCATTTGCTGCTTTAGCTGGAGATTAACTGGAAATCTACAGGCATACCATACACAGGTTTAATATGTATGATTACCTGGTAAGGTTGTCCAGTGATGCAGTCTGCACGTCATGCTTTGATGATGTGCCAACAAATATCTGTCAGCACAAACGGGCTTGCTAGTTGCTACAGCAACAGGACCTGTTAAAAAGTGCAGAAAGTGGTAGAAGAAAACATGGTTTAAAAGCAAGTGTGAGTGCTCAATTTTTCAGTGGTTCAATCTTTGCTGCGTATAATATATGCATGCATGTTCATATGATTTTGCAGTTTCTGCAGAGCTGAGGAAGCTTGTCGTGGTAGAGTTGCGCCAAAGAGTTGGTGTACTGACTTTAGCTATTATAAGGTTTAGGCACATGTGAATGTGATTCGCCCATCCCCCTCTCATGTCCCTGCAATAGGGTCAAAAGCAATGCAAATTTTTCGTGCCACAGGTGCTAAAACCTACTATAAAATACATGTTAAAGCCTGATTAGCTCTGGAGTAACAGTACTTAGCTTTGCGAATAGGTCATTCTACAGGACAATGGTTTGATTCAACTCATGTTGCTTTGGCCACAAGCAGAATGCACCTCTCATGGGAATTGGTCATGTGAATATGACAACTATTGTCACCTAGGCCCATATTTTGCCCTATAGGTAATGCAGTAGCAAACTAAGCACTTCTATTCAATCCAATACAGGGTTATGCACTATATAGAATACTAACTTACCAACGTAGGGTTAGAAATTAAAGCCAAATATTGGGCAGCAACAAATCTGAAAATACCAAACAAACAAAATACATGAGGGTAGATCCACCTGAATGCTGTAACTGAATGCAATTGTCTTTGCTTAATGCTAAGACAGGGGCAAAGCCTTAAAACTCTAAAAAAAATATATGAGGGTAACATTAATTGTAAATTGTAATATACATGCACAATACAGTTACATACTTCTGGAAAAAATATTTAAAATGAATGCCATTTTTATTCATAATGGTATAGTACAATCAGGCAGTAACACCGATGATGTCATTGGTGTTTAGTAGGTACAAAGTTACATATTTCACATAGATCCAACAGAAATTTACTGTTACTGAAATTTCGCACATTAAATGTGATTTTCTATGTCACACTTTCATATTTAAATGCAAGCAACTCCCTAGGAACTCAAGCAAACTGTTGAGGAAGTGTCATGTACTGGCTTCTGCATCAAGTGTACTTTTAACTCCATCTTGAAATGAGATTGGCTTGATACCAAGAATCTGGGTTAGCTTGGTGATGTCCATGGATATGTCTGGTGGAGAAGCTACCCCACGATTAACCTGGGTAACAGGTAGATGCGGGCATTACAAGATATTATGATGGCAAAATAAGCATATGGAAGCAAAATGTGTAAAGCGACCTCAATGCTCATGTTGGATACTATTTCAGTTGTAAAGTTAAGACCAACTTGTATCTAAACCATCATGCTTGTTGAATAACCGTGTTCTAATAGACTAATAGTACTCATGTGTTAACACTAAACAGGCATATATGGATGCTTCAATGCTGCATTCCAGAGGCAATACCGATGATGCAGACACAGAATTGATTATACTGGGGTTATATCCACGAACAACAGCAACAGACTCAGCCATCTGCAGTCTTGATACCCTATCTGGACCACCAACATTCAGGAGGACCTGGACTTTTTTGCCATCTGCAGCATGCACTTTGATGTCAGTCACCATGGTACAATGGAAAGCAATTGCTAAGAAGAAAAACACTAATATTGAAGCGTTATATATAAACTGGAACATGTTAAAATTGTTTATAGAGTGAACACAAGAAAGAGTATTATTGCTACTGATTGAGTTTCACAAATGCTACAAGTCAAACTCATACCAGATAACCAAGTTTTTGTCAATGACAAAATCACGTCCACCATATCTTTGACATAGACAGGGCACCGGAATTCATCATTGAAGAACTCAACCTGTTGGCCTTGTGAAAGAACACCATCCATCCACTGCATCCAAATGCCAAGTACTTTTCTTAGTTAGACAATGCTCTAGTCCTGTAGCATCAGTTTGAATTCTGAAACATTAGCAACACGAGTTTACCTACATATAGTTGGGGGAGAATAGCATAACACTATTGGTGAGCACCGAGTGCATTTTACCTGAATGGGAAGGGATTTTGCCACAGGAGAGATTGTTTGTGGCCCATAGATAATGCTGCTTCTCAAGATCGCATAGTTTGAGCATTTCTCAATAATGAGTTTCTCCGCGGCAACTTTAGATTTTCCATACATGTTCACCGGCATTGTGTCGTCCTCTTCTTTGTAGAAGGATTTCACCCCCTCATAAACTGTCAGTACATGAGAGGCATATTTCATTGTACACTTGAGTCCAGGATGTAAATACATGCACCACAGATAAAAAAATGTCTGAGTAGCAGCGTATTACACCAAGGATTGTGATGAGTACTGTACCTTGATCGGTTGACAGATGAATCAAAAGTGAGTCGTCATTTCCAAAACTTAGCAACCAACTGACAAGTGAAGAAGGCACATTGGTAGCCATAGCAGCAGGTGGATCCATTTCACACGCCCGAGGAACTGACATCGCAGCACAGTTGACAACTACGTGTGGCTGAACATAATAGGTACAGGTTAGTATGCTCTGTTATCATAGAAATGTAGTAGTGAGCTCGTGATTCATGTAACGTACAGCCAAGGAATCACCAATCAGTTAATCACTGAATCAGTGAGAGCAGAAGTTCGTATGAAGCAGAGAGTTGCGGTGGGAAATGCGGACGCGTATGCACCTGGCCAAAGGACGCGGAGATCGCCTCGAAGCCGTCGCCGGAGCGGAGGTCGGCGCGGAAGGCGCGGACGGAGGGGAGCGCGTCGAGGAGCGGCTGCGGCGGGGCGGGGCTGTGGTGGGTGAAAGCGACGTCGAGGCGGTCGGCGGCGGAGGACGCCGCGAGGAGGTGCTGGCCCAGGTAGCCGCTGCCGCCCACCACCAGCACCCGCTTCCTCTCCTCCTCCGCCCCCGCCATCTCGAGAGATCTGCTGAGACTGAGAGATTGCGAGGGAGGGAAGCAAAGCGCTCGGCTTCGGCTCGCTCGGGGTTGAAGCGGAGCCGTGGGTCCCACCCTTCAGTTGAGAGAGTGATGCGTATCCTGGTGCAGAAGGCGGAAAACTGTACTCCTGAAGGCGGAAACCTAACTGCCCTTCCTCTTCTCTTCTCACTTCACAGTCTGCTGCGTTGGCCGCCGCCAAAACCCAGCAGCGAGCGATAAACCCTACAGCGCCGCCGTCGCTGCTCCAGGCGGCGATGGGGGGCGGGCCGCGCACGTTCCCGGGCGGGCTGTCCAAGTGGCAGTACAAGAGGATGCACGAGAAGCTGGCGCGGCAGAAGCAGCGGGGGCTCCTCCGCCACGAGAAGCAGCTCTACCTCGCCCGCCTCCGCTCCGAAATCCGCGCCTCCCACCTCCCGGGCGCCGCCGCCGCGGAGGCTCCGCCGTGCGAGGGGCCCACCTCGTCGCGCGCCCACATCCGCGCCCTCGCCGACCGCTTCCGCAGGCCCGGCGCCGAGGACCTCTGGAACGAGGACGACGGACCCCTCCGCCGCGCCAAGCGGCCGCCGACTGGGATCGCGTCGGGTGTCCAGCACCGGCAGCAGCAGTTGGACTCTGGGAATCCCCGCGGAGGACCGAGTTGGGAGGACTGGGAGGACCTGGCCGCTCTGGAGCAACCGAGGCCTCGGAGGGAGCCTTTAGACAGGGGAAAGGGGCCGACCTTGGCCGCGTTCAATCCGAGAAGAGAGTACCGAACGGTGGCGCCCTGGTGTCCGCGTTGGAATCTGGCGCCACTCGGTTTCGTTGATCCCAGGAGGTTTTACTCGGTGATGACTCCTTGCTCCGTGAGTTGGCAACCGTGCGTCGACCTGAGGCCATTGGTTGCTAGAGGCCTTACTGAGGTTGGGAATGGAAGGAGGGAGACACCATTGGCGCTGTTTAATCAGGAGAGGCTGTACTCAGTGGCTGCGAGGCGATTTGGCAGGAAATGGAGACCAGATTCGTCAGATGAGGATGACGAGGGTACATCTGCGCGCAAGAGGAATCTGAGGTTTGGAAAGTTTGGGGCTTCGAGCGAAGAGGATTCAGAAATTGATGAGTCTGAGGACACAGGTGCCATCAGGAGGAGATGGAGCAGTGCTGCTCTGAGGAACTGTGATATGAAGAAGGAAAGGCGGGTGCTCAAGTCTTACGAGGAGGAAAGCACTGATCTTGCGGGTAGAATCCGAGAGCTGCGAGAGGAGATCAGAAATAGGGAGGTTTTGGGTACTGAGAGGAGGCGTTACGAGTCCAGGGGTGAATCTCTGCTTACCAGTAAAAGGTCACACTCTCATATTTCATTATATGCTATTGTTCATATTTGCTGTGTAGCCTAGGAACTTCATATTGTATGGTTCATGAAATTTAGGTAAAGCAATGAAATGAAATATTCTCGAAATGTGTGCATCATATGTATGAAATCTTCTAGTTCAGCTTCTGGAGTACCGTTTTATCATGACACTGACCTTTAACATAAAAATTAACAATAATGCAAAGAGTGGAGGCAATATAGATTGCTCATCACTGCACATCATGGTACTTTTCCTTTTGACTCAAGGTTAATGAATGATTGGTGAATAATAAATTTAATTTTGCATGTCCTGTCTTACTTTGAAATAGAGATAGCATCCATATAACCAGCAAGTTATGTTGTTTCTGTCTTCAGATTTGATGAGTGTGGTGTCTCCCCTCTGACAGTCAAAGCACTTACTGATGCTGGATATGTACAGACAACTGTGGTGCAAGAGGCAGCTCTTCCTATTTGTCTTGAAGGTATTGTATTTATTTTACTTTCTCTAGACATTTCTTTTACACAAAAAAAAAAAGGAAAAAGAATGAACTTTGTGATATGAGGAAAACATGTGTTTGGGTTCAAAAGAATTTGAGAACATATGTGTCAGAATGAGGTTGAGGTTGCCCCTCGTAACCTTATGCATGTACATCTCTCGAGAAGTCAGGTTGTTAAATCTTTGTTTGTACATTCTGATATCTTCTTTAAGCATAAGCATATGGTCCATGTTGCTTGACTTAAGTATTTCTCCATTTTAGGACTTTCGACCTTATGATACCATTCCGTTATATCTCTGCCTGAACTATCAGAACATGTTATCACAGAAGTCATCGAATTCTCACTTATAATACTATATATAAGCAGGTAAAGATGTTCTTGTCAAGGCCAAAACTGGAACCGGCAAAAGTGCAGCTTTTCTGGTAATGTTCACTCATGATATATTATATTAGTTTCAGAAATTCTGTTTCTTTTGATGTTCATATTGTTCAACCAATTTATTCAAAATGGATTGATATACAGCTTCCTGCAATTGAATCAGTCTTGAATGCTATGAAGAGCAATACAAATCAGCGAGTATCTCCAATATTTGCTCTTGTCCTCTGCCCTACAAGAGAGCTTGCTATTCAGCTTACTGCTGAAGCAAATGTCTTGTTGAAGTACCATGAAGGAATTGGTGTTCAATCTCTTATTGGTGGCACTAGATTCAAGCTTGATCAGAGACGTTTAGAATCTGATCCATGCCAGGTTTGTCATATTTATCAACCTACTGAAGATCAAGACAAAACTTACTTTAGCCTGACGATTTTCCGTTTCCTTCTTTCCCTTCCAGATTTTAGTTGCAACACCTGGTAGACTGCTGGATCACATTGAAAACAAATCATCATTCTCTGTTCGTTTGATGAGATTGAAATTGCTTGTGTTGGATGAAGCTGATCATTTGCTAGATTTGGGTTTCCGTAAAGACATAGAAAAGATCGTCGATAGCTTGCCACGACAAAGACAAACATTGCTCTTCTCAGCTACTATTCCAAAAGAGGTAGTATAATAATCAGCATAGCTTGTGCACCAATATATGTATATTTTTGTCTAACTCCAACAACAACAACAAAACCTTTTAGTCCCAAGCAAGTTGGGGTAGGCTAGAGTTGAAACCCCACACGAGCCCCTAATCATGGTTCAGGCACGTCAATGGCCGCTTTCCAAGCACTCCTATCCAAACAAAGATCTCTAGGTATATCCCAACCCTTTAAATCTCTTTTAATTGACTCCTCCCATGTTAGCTTCGGTCTTCCTCTACCTCTCCTCACATTGATGTCTCGACTTAGCACTCCACAATGCACTGGTGCCTCTGAAGGTCTCCTTTGGACATGGCCAAACCACCTCAGCCGATGTTGGACAATCTTTTCTTCAATTGGTGCTACCCCTAGACGATCACGTATATCATCATTCCGAACTCGGTCCATCCTTGTGTGACCACTAATCCAACGCAACATACGCATTTCCACGACAGTTAGTTGTTGGACATGTCATCTTTTTGTAGATCAACATTCTGCTCCATACAACATAGTCGGTCTAATTGCCGTTCTATAAAACTTGCCTTTAAGCTTTTGTGGTACCCTCTTGTCACAGAGTATGCCAGATGCTTGGCGCCACTTCAACCACCCTGCTTTGATCCTATGACAAACATCTGCATCAATATCTCCATCCTTCTGTAGCATCGATCCTAGATAATGGAAGGTATCTTTCTTAGGCACCACTTGACCTTTCAAACTCACCTCTCCCTCCTCATGTGTAGCGTTGCCAAAGTCGCATCTCATGTATTCTGTTTTAGTTCGACTTACTCTAAAACCTTTGGACTCAAGGGTTTGCCGCCACAACTCCAGTTTTCTATTTACTCCTGTCTGGCTTTCATCAATTAGCACTATATCGTCCACAAAAAGCATACACCAAGGGATATCCCCTTCAATGTCCCTTGTCACTTCATCCATTATCAAGGCAAAGAGATACGGGCTCAAGGCTGATCCTTGATGAAGTCCTAGCGGGAAGTTACCATCATTTGTTCGAACACTAGTCACAGCATTGTTGTACATATCCTTGATGAGGGTAACATACTTTGTTGGGACTTTATGTTTGTCCAACGCCCACCACATAACATTCCTTGGTATCTTGTATAAGCCTTCTCCAAGTCAATGAAAACCATGTGTAGGTCATTCGTCTGCTCCTGAACCGCTCCATAACTTGTCTTATTAAGATAATTGTTTCTATGGTAGATCTTCCAGGCATGAAACCGAATTGGTTCGTAGATACCCGTGTCGTTCCTCGCAGTCGATGCTCGATGACTCTCCCACAGCTTCATCATGTGGCTCATCAACTTAATTCCCCTATAATTAGTGCAACTTTGGATGTCTCCCTTGTTCTTGTAGATTGGTACCAATATGCTTCTTCTCCACTTCTCAGGCATCTTGTTCGATCGATAGATATTGTTGAACATCTTCGCTAGCCATACTATTGCTAAATCCCCGAGACACCTCTACACCTTGATCAGGATACCATCAGGGCCCATCGCTTTACCCACTTTCATCCTTTTCAGAGCTTCTCTAACCTCCTGCACTTGGATCCTACGCACAAAGCGTCTATTGGTGTCATCAAACGAGTCGTCCAACCGAACAGTGGAGTTCTCATTCTCCCCATTGAACAACTTATCAAAATACTCTTGCCACCAATGTCTGATCTCATCCTCCTTCACCAAGAGCTGCTCACTCTCATCCTTAATGCACTTGACTTGATTGAAGTCCCTCGTCTTTCTATCACGAGCCCTAGCCATCCTATAGATGTCCTTCTCTCCTTCCTTCGTATTCAGACGTTGGTAAAGACCCTCGTAAGCCCGCCCCTTAGCCTCTCCCACCGCTCGTTTTGCAGTCTTCTTTGCCACCTTGTACTTCTCTATGTTGTCTGCACACCGGTCCTGGTACAAGCGCTTGTAGCATTCCTTCTTTTCCTTGATAGCCTTTTGCACATCTTCATTCCACCACCAAGCGTCTTTCAAGTCGCATCCACTTCCTTTGGCCATTCCAAGTACCTCTGCCGCAACCTTCCGAATGCATGTTGCCATCTTCTCCCACATGTTGTTTGCATCGCCTTCGTCCTTACAAGGGCCATCTTCTCCCACATTTTTGTCTAACTCCATCTGTGTTATATTATACTATATCTGTGAATGAATACCCACAATCATAAAACTGGGAGTAATGGTTGCTAGTTGTGACTGACAGGTTCGAAGAGTTTCACAGCTAGTATTAAAGAGGGATCACGTTTTTGTTGACACAGTGGGCCTTGGAGCTGTTGAAACCCCAACTAAGGTATACTCTTTATTTTATTTTTTTTAAAACGAAACTAAGGTATACTCTTTCTCCTCAAAATATTTGTCTCTCTTACTATTCTGATAAGATACTTGATACACACGTATAGATGTTTGAAGCCATATATTATCCACTCTTTAGTTTGACCATTTGAATATTATACCATCATGCTCTTTTTAGGGATACATGAGTTATATTTGTAAATCATGTCTAGCTTAAAATAGAAGTTTGTGGTCCTCTGTTAGCCTTCTTTTCTATTCTCTGTATGAAAATAATTTTGTTTCCTGTTGACCCATTTCTACCTCCTATTGTTGGGCTTAGGTTCAGCAGTCATGTCTTGTGGTACCACATGAGCTGCATTTTCATATGGTTCATCACCTACTTCGAGAGCATATTGACCGTGAAGTTGATTACAAGGTCCTGCATCTCCTTTTCTTCAAACAACCAGTTGTAAGAACTTCAATGTGTCGTTTTACTAATAATATTCAAATTTCAGGTTATTGTTTTCTGCACGACAGCCATGGTGACTGAATTTATGTATATCATGCTTCGAGATTTGAAGTTAAATGTCAGGGAAATTCACTCAAGGAAACCTCAGCTTTTTAGAACTCGCATATCTGAAGAGTTCCGGGGCTCTAATCGCTTAATTCTTGTAACATCAGATGTTTCTACTCGTGGGGTGAATTATCCAGATGTCACCCTTGTGATTCAGGTGAAATTCCATTCATGATTATTGTAGCTGAAGAAAGTTTATGACACTACCATTTATTTGCCTAAGCAACTGGAGAATTGACGTCTAACTGTTACAGTTGCGTGGCATGATTACATTGCTTCTGTGCTTCAGTATTGCAGTACTGACATACATGGTTCTCGGATTAGGTTGGTGTTCCTCCTGATAGAGAGCATTACATCCATCGGCTTGGAAGGACTGGAAGGGAAGGTAAATCTGGCAAAGGAATTCTTTTACTTGCACCATGGGAACAATATTTCCTGAATGAGATAGGTGATCTCCCAATTGAGAAGTGTCCAGCACCAGACATTGGTGAGGAGATGAAACAAAAGGTCCAGATTGCTAACTTAGCTTGTGTTCTTGTTATCTTTTAGGAACTAGCCTATTTTGTCCTATAACCATCTCATCATGCAATATATCGTTAATGCTTACAAGAACTTCATTTGAAACGGTACTTGCACATGTGCCCACAACAGCCTTTCTGATGTTTTGTCATCATCACACTATTCAGTTCACTGTTTAATTGCTGCCCCATTATATTGTAGTGATTAAGTAGTCACTGATCAGCTTATTCAGCCATTGTCATACTTTTATTCACGTTTTGCAATGCAGGTTGACGATTCAATAAAAATTGTTGACATGAGCATCAAAGAAGCAGCATACCACGCGTGGCTTGGGTACTATAACTCAATTGCTGACATAGGTAGAGATAAAACCATGCTTGCTGACTTAGCAAATCGATTTGGTGCTTCGATCGGCTTGGAGAAGCCTCCAGCAATATACCGGAAGACCGCACTGAAAATGGGGCTGAAGGATGTCCCTGGGATTCGAATAAGGAAATGACTTGCTCAACACAGCACGGATTTCTTTGTGTACCCTTAGGCTTTTATACTAGTGTACAGATTCACTCTCAGTCTCAGGGATGAGTAGTATTTGTTCTATTTTCACCTATGTAGTGGCATTTCTGTATACTGGTAGTTCCATTGATCAGCGTCCTTGACAAGGCTGTATTGATGAATAAGACCGGCTTCCATGCGAATTATTGTAATCCAAAATGTGTGAACATGTAGCTGTGCTTTTCAACTCTTATTGTATTATGGTACCGCTACCCTCTAGGATCTGCTTGATCATCATTAAGCAGCTTAAATGGGTTTTTTTAGATGGAATAGCATCTACCAAGTCATTTATATCAGGGGGCACGAACTGCTGCGTGAAGGCCAGGCAAGAAGGCGAGATGTGCATGTGGTTTAACTATTCGATATACGGAGTATATGATATGTGCGCCGCGCACGAAGTACAGTACTATGCTGGAAAGAATATATCCTCCAAATTCAAATTGTGATTACGAAAAGACAAATTGTGATAAATAAATAAATACAATCATCGGTGACTGAATCTCATTCAGATACAGAACATGTTAATACCTCTTCATTTTTCAATAAAATGGTCCAGGCACATCATAGACAAGATACATGAAGTCATAAGGCTTTTATCGCCTATCTGAGGCCACTGATTCAGCAGAAAATAGATACTTCACGCGAGAAAGAACCGAGTCATGCGCTGGATCATATGGATGGTCCTTGGACGGGATCTCCAGTATAGCAGGAACAGGTTTGTTGTAGCCATCTACCAAGAACCTTATCATGTTTGCAACCTGACAGACACAAATTGAACACCTCAGAGAACAGATTCCATATCATTTTTTTTAAGCATTTCAAATTTCAACTTTTACAGACTACTCAGAATGCAAAAGCTTAAAGCTGATTTTGGTGCATTGCTGGAATTCCAATGTTCATTCAATATTAGGAGCCTAAGTTCTGCAGACTGATCAAGCATTTTCCTATAAGTCTAGAACTAAGCACAACCAAAGGTTAAGCGGTTTTGATTAATTACACCTGCAGGGGGATAGGCAAGTATGTCGTGATGAAATACCACAAGCTCCAAAATTTTACCCCTAAAACTAAAAGGTACATTTTAATGTGTTTAGAATTGAGAGCAAATTTAACAGAACTAACTCGTTTACCTGAACTTTTGAGGCAGAAAAATTAGCTCTGCCATGATCCCATGATACAAAAGAATAAATAGCTGGACAAAAAAATAACTGCACTAAACAAGATTACTTACATATTGGCTGATGAGTACAATCGCAATGTCCTCTCTAGAGGTGAACTCCTTAAATGCATCTTCAATTTGTTTAACTGTTGTTTCTGTAGCATAAACACACAGGATTTTATCATCAACATACTAACAAACAATAACAATATAAATAAAAGTAAAAAGTTAATGCTAGCATATCAGCATTTCAACTAAATACAGGAGCCATAAAAAAATGTTGAGCTAGAAAACAAAATTCAGTTTTCTGAAAGCTTTAGCTTTCATCGTTCAAAAAAGTACACCAACTGCCAAAGGAAAACCTAAATGTGTCCATTAGTATATAATCAAAGCTCACACAGTATCTTCCAGAGCAATTTACAGCCCAATAGAGCAACTTCAGGTTAGACACATTAGCTAAACCGGTCACTGGAATTCACAGAGGTTGTGTAATGTTCAAGTACAATTTTTTTTTTTTTTTTTTTTGCACAAAAGCTACCATAAAAAACCTTACTACGAACCATTGCTGAAGCAATCTACCGGCATGCCAATATTGCAATAAACTGAGTGACAGAGAATGACCAGAGGCCATTTTTTCAGTGAGCACACTATGCTGCAGAGCTCAAAAGATTAATCAAGTTGAACATTTAACTCTATTAGTAGTATGGATCAGTTGGCAAGTCATGTATGGCCTTCGTATGAAAGTTAACATCATTATTCTGTGAAGTCAAAAGCTAGGAAAGTTCAAACTTCAAACTACCATAGACAACTTAAATAGCTTTGCATATTAACAGTTTCAAGGAATTACTGTTATCAACAATAAGATAATTTGTTTTCTTTCTCAGATCCACATTGCCAACTCCAGCCAACAAAAAGCCAGTCACCGTGTCCTGCAAAACAAAGTGGAGACAGCAAAATCATTCCCATAGTAGAATTATAATTGTGAACTAAGATTAAATTAGAAAACCTGGCCGTACAGAATAAAAACAAAAACCTGGCTGTTCTCAAGGTGACATCTGACAGGTATTAGGATCAAATAAAAAGGCGATCCTCTGACTGGAGAATCACTGTCTACTAGATAAGTCTATCCCAGTGCCCAGAAAGCACTGTCAAATTATATCAGGGCTCTCTGTGATCATTTTGCTTGACCATCCACTGGAAAAGGTTTTTTTTTCCTTAGTTGCCATCAGAAATTAAAGTGGTGTCTTATTTGGCACTGGAAAAGTTTTTCTTCCTTAATTGCCATCGACTCAAACATGTGTGCCTTACATTACATGCCACTTAAGTCCATTTTAAAGTTAGCTGGTAGCTGCTGTTTAACAGCCTGTTCGCTGGTTGGTTTCTGGGCTGATAAGCCCGGCTGGTGCTGATTTGTTGTGAGAGGAAAATATTGTACCATGGTTGATAAGCCCTGGCTGAAACCAACAAGCGAACAGGCTCTAAGTGGCATGGGAGATGACCCAGCTGCCCCTATGTTCAGCAAGTAGTAAAATTTGGCATGACTTCCTTTCTTGCCACTCCAATACAAACAGATGACGTGTTGCCTTGTTTGTGAAGTAAATACTGTGTTACAAAGTGCATTATGCTACCGTTCGCATATATCTATATTATATTAGAATAAACATGTCTTGTTTATCAAATACGCTTGAAGTAAATACGTACTATGCTACCAAGTAGTAGACCATCAACTAGTTTCTGTTTAGCTATCAATACAGAACAGTCAAAACACGGAAACGGCACTATTTCTGTGTTCCCTTCTTATGATGGCAGGATAATAGCCTAGCATTTGGTGACTGTTATGTTCGTACAGTAACCTAACTATTAATACTTATGCTTCGGCAGAGAAGCAATAATGCATAGATAATGAGTTCAGTGCTGAACAGCAAGAAATCGATTGACAGATCCATCGCCGCTAAACAGCTAACACAACAGTTATATTTCTCGCGTAACAAAGGCCATTAATGTCGAGCTACTAGCGAGAAAGGGAGCGGCGAGGAATCTCTCTTGTTCAGAGCGTCCTGCCACGGATCTGATCTCTACCGGAGACGAAGTATCATGCGTTTCTTTTTATCAACTCAACCACTTGACAGCCTAGAATCTTCTCACACACAAATAAGCAAAACATCCTGATCCCCGAGTAATGAGACCAAATTCAGGGAAAGGGGGAGAAAGATGGAACGGCAGCGAGCTACCTCATCGGCGATGATGGCGATTAGCGCAGAACTGTTGGTCGGGATGTTGGCTCTCCCCGCCATTGCCGCCGCCTCTTCCCTTCCTGCGCATGCAGCAGCAGCAATCGAAAACAAGAGGCTTGGATCAGAGAACGAGATCGCCGGTTTGGTAGGCGGAATCCGCCATCAGGAAAAAGAAATCAGGATTGGACCTTGCGACTTGCGAATCCGCGAGCGGGCGTGGAGACGGGAGGGAAACGCGGCGCGAAATCAATCGATCGATCCGACGGCTTTGTTCCGCGGCGTGGATGGATCCGCACGTCTAATCTACAGTGTATCTATTTTTCGGTTTCGGCTGCCTGCCTCATCAGATGATAATTAAGGGTTGAATTGAAGGTGGGCCCCATGTGGAAGAGAAGAAAGAATCCGATCCACAAGCTGTCTGTGTTGGAGGAGGTGTATATTCTTGTATTATTCCGTGCCGTGCCAGTCCGCTTACCAGCAAGACCAACACCAGTAATAGAGCAATTGTTTGGCTATTAGCCAAGTTTCAAGAGCCAAACTATACAATATATAATAGTAGTCTTTTATTTGTCTAGATAGAATAAACTTTTTTATTGTTAGTTTTACCTATACCCCACATTCTATTTTCTAATCCTCCTCACATTCACTTAGTGCATGAACCCACTACTGCATATGCACCCTTGTCCAGCTTGATGCTCCACATCTGCATTTGCTTGGCTATAAGCCAATTACTGTACCTACTCTACGTTTACCTTTTTCGTATCATCAATCAATCACACAACAGTAGACACATACTCCCTCCATCAAAAAAATTACTAATCAAACTTTCTTAAAATTTATAACTAGATTTTTAAAAAATATTCGCAATATTTATATCTCCAGATAAATTTATTATGAAAATATATTCAACGATTCATCTACTGACACTAATTATACAACATAAATATTAATATGTTCTTATATATTTTTAGTCAGAATTAAAATTATTTATTTTTCGGGATGTGAGAATGACATTTTTTTTTAGAAAAGAGAGAGTATAGATGTACTGCATACTGTTTCCAAGGGAATCTTTGAAAAGATTGAATAAACAAAGTCAGTATATGTCTCATTATCAACAGGCATATCGTCTACTACTAGAAAACTAGTGTCAACAAATTATAAAATAAATTCAGTCCTGTCAGCTCGAACTATCAAGCGTGTCTTGCAACATGTTCATGCACAATTTGTACATGTGTGTTTCACTATTGCCCATCTTCCATCCTTGAACACATACTGTCCACTAACCACTATGCGCCATATAACTCACCTATGGCATTCCCCTAAGCCGTTGCAAAACAACCTTAATACCTAACCCAACCTGACATTTTTGCAACAAAGAATAAAAGGAGGGTCACTCAAAAAAATCATGTAGGAGCAATTTTTTTATATTTCTATTTATACTCTTTCTTTTTAGAATTACATAGTACAACGTAGATGTCCACAACACGCACGCGCACTCACCCCTATGAACACACGTACGCAAACCCTAATATTTATATTTATAATTTATATAGATTAGAGTTTTTATTTAGTTTTGTTATTTCTATCTAAACATGGCTGAAAAACACAACCCTTCAGATTATCAAATAAAGGCTCAGAAGAATTGGCCCAGAAAGGCCCATCCTGGCCCAAGTCCGTCTTCTCCTCCGGTCTGCCCAAGCCCACCTTCCTCCCAACCCTTTACCCCCTCACAACACAAACTTTCTTCCCCTCTCCAGTCGGTCTCCACGCCGACCTGATCGCAGTCGCACGCTCCTTCCCTCGCGCCCACTTCGCGCCGCACCGCACCGCACCGCACCGTCATGGCGAAACCCTCCGCCGCCATCCACACCCCGCGCCCCTCCGCGCTCCGCTCTTCATCCTCCTCCACTTCCTCCTGCTCCGTCACTCGCAGCTCCGTCGGATCAACCTCCCCGTCGGCCGCCGCCGCCGCGTCGAAGCTCCCTGTCGCCGCCGCCACCCACCGTGACTCCGCCTCGAACGCCAAGGTAAACCTTCCCAGTACCACCCTACGCTCACCTCCTCCTCCCACCTTCGCGTTCCCGCCTATTATAACAAGTACAATTCGCGGCGGCGCCCTCTGATTAGGTGGTGGCCAAGTGCCTCGTCTACGACGACGACTACTTCACCCTCCCCTCCGCCGCTACACTCGCACCGCATCCGGACGCCGTGCCAGTGGACGGGCTCGCCCCGCAGGAGGACGACCTCGCCCCGCTCCTCGAGCTCCCGGACCCCGACGTTGTCTCCGGGGACACCTCCGTCGTCTCCGCCGCTGCCGATGACGCGCTGACTGCTTCCGCCGACTCCTGCGTCACCGAGGTGGGTATGTGCGGATCCGTTGCCATGTTTGTTTGGTGTTTTTGCGGTGCTACTGTCCGAGTTTGTTCCATTTTCATCGGAGTTTGTTGTCCTGGGGTTTGAGCATTTGAAATTCACGCTGATCGGGAATGATTTTGTGCGTGTTATGAACTTTTTCGAGAGGAATTGGAGATCTGGATCGAAAGGGTTTCCGTTTGATTTCACGAGCGCCCGTACACATTTCAATTTCACCGTTATATGTTGGTACAGCGATAGAAATTGATTTGGGACCGTAGCTGTGAACGCGACGGAGTCCTCCATTTTAATTCGAATGCACTCGTTTTGGTTTTGCAAGTTGGCGCCCAACTTTGGTTCATCGATTCTATCTGGCCTCTTAATCCTCCCCTCGATATGAGTTTCTCCCTCGCATGTGTGTAGTTATTCGAAATTCAGAAAGACACCCAAACCGTGACGTATCCTGTTCTGTTCTGCTTGCTGATGCACAGGTGCCAGCGCGCGCGGACTCGGCCACCGACACCGAGGCCGACGCGGACGCGGCGCTGCCGGAGGACATCAGCCACGCGCTGGCCGAGCTGCGCGGCGCCGGCGGGCTCAGCCCGCGGTCGAAGCGGCTCCTGATCGCGCTCGCCGAGGCCGCAGCCCTGGAGCTGGCCGCCTCCGCGGCGGCCGCAGCCACCACCGCCCAGCGCCTGCGGCTGCGCCGCGCCAGCTTCTGGGGCAAGGTGCGCGTGGCGGTGCTCGCCGCCGTGGCCGTCGCCGACGTCGCGCTCGCCGCCTACCTCTACGCGCGCCGCGCCAACGGGTGGTACGGCCACGCCCTGCTGCCCCCCACCTGATCGTGAATGGTCCCTCGCTCCGTCACGACGCCGCCGCTTGCTGTTCCTAGTTGCATTGGGAGTGCTATACACGTAGTCACGTACGTAGCTAGTGTTGCTGTCTAAATATCTAATAGCTAGCTGTCGTTACCTTGTTTGGCATTGCTGTTAGTTTGTTTCAGTACAACCTTAGAACGGCTGTGCATTGCTGCACGTACGTTTTTGCATCCCATTCCTCTGACGAGACTGAAACAACATCCAAGTAATAATCCTAGTAACATGTACAGGATGCATACGTGCGTTGAGGTACTGAAAATGTTCTCTGCGTGGCTACAATACATACACTGCACAGTTACACAACGGCCGCACAGACATACATTTCCCTTGAGCAAACAACGGCACCCACCACGCAGCAAAGCAATAGCCAAGATGAGGGACGAAAGCATCTAGGAGTATGTATGTAACTATATATGTGCTAATGTACACGAGAACAAAGCCAAAACTACAAAGGATGAGATGATATGCGTTCTGCTCTGCTTACGCCGTAATCAAGCTTTGTCAGAAGCTGGGGAATGAGGACCGTGGTGCCTGCCTTTGCTATCAGCACCTAGAAGCAGCCGAGGAATTTGGTGGCCGGGGTAGTCCCTTTGGACCGGTGCTTGGCCGCCATGTCCTCGTACTTGAGGATGGCCTCGCGCCGCGTCGCCTCCACCGACGCGCGCTTCTCTTCCGCCGCCCTGTGGATGGCGGCCACCTGGTTCCTCATCTTCTCCGCGTACTCCGCCTTCTTCTTCTCCAGCTTCTCCTGCAGTCACCGTCGCCAGCGCATGCCCATCAGTCATTAGTGTGTGCATCCGCGACTAGTTTCAGTCTCACCAAGCTCAGCCGGTGGTGGATACATGGTCATCATCAAGCAGCAGCAGCAGCAGCAGCAGTGTATGCAAAGACGAGTGATGGAGAGATTGAGACCTCTCTAGTTCGCAGCTTTGCTTCTACGGCCGCCTTCTTTGTGTTCTCCCACGACATGATGGCCGACATCTTCTTCTCAGCCCTGCGCGCCCCGCCGTTGCATTGAGCAAGAACAAAGGTAAAACAAACAGTTTGGCTGGCTACGCGTCCTAACTAACAGTAAGCAGAGCAGCAGCAGAGAGAGTCCAGCTGAGCAGTGCCTACGTACGTACTTGTTCTCGGCTTTGCTCTTCTCGCTCTCCTCCCACGCCTTGATCATCGACAGCTTCCTGTCCATGTCCACCTTTGCAAGCACGGCATCTGCTGCCAGACAAGAAAAAAAAGAAGAGAAAGAAACACAATCATGTGTTAGTGTAAAATACATTCATCAAATCAAGACTCGTTTTTCCCAAGCATTTGTACTACTGAAACTTTCGTACCTCTGTCAGCCGGGGCAGCTCCAGCTTTGTCGACTGGCACTGGAGGACCATCTGCAGAGAGACAAGGGTTAGCAGAGCGTCTTGTGGCAAGTAACCCGTCCGGCCTAGCCGTACGTAGAGCTGAAGCAACTGTTAACTGATGTATACAGTACATTGTTGCTATCAGATTGGCCAAACGCCTGAACGATGTGTATACGGTAACAAGGATGTCTAAGACTGACACGCTCGGAGCTGGTGCAGATGCATGCCTCTGTTCCTTTTGCAACCTACAGTACTAATCACGTCTTAGGGCCTGTTTAGATCCCTTTCAGTTTGGAAAATGGACACTGTAGCACTTTTCGTTTGTATTTGGTAAAAATTGTCCAATTATGGACTATTTAGGCTTAAAAGATTCGTCTCGCCAATTACGGGCAAACTGTGCAATTAGTTATTCTTTTTACCTACATTTAATGCTCCATACATGTACCGCAAGATTCGATGTGACGGAGAATCTTGGGAA